GAGGTACTGAAGACAATTTGGTGCCATATATTTTGCTGTTCATGTGCATTAAATGGAACATCGATCTACATGATAAATATTTTGGGCTAGTTGTGGAAGAAACAATAGAAAAATTTGTCATGTCACGAGCGTGAGACAAAGAAAAAAATTGGAGTTCCTACGAATAATTGACTTCTGATCCTCGGATTCCGCGCTCAAATTCCGATGCTCTTTGAAAGACACATTTCCCATATGAACTTAGAAACAGCCTTTCCTCATTGTAGTAATACATCCAAGCGCGAGATGCGACGGTCAGCTTCCATTCCTCACGAGGGGCTCAGACTTTGTGAGCATCTAAGCTACATAATCAGCAATAACAAATTGAATCACGTCATTCACCTCACTTCCCATTTCCATAAGGGTATCTCCTAAAGCTATTCCTGCGTCAACAGAACTTGGATCTAGGTCAAATGCTTTCTGATAACATCTACTGGCTTTGCTGAACATTGATACAAGAATTAATGATTAATCATTGCGATATCATCTTTTGTTTTATTTCTATATTCTTCTTTTATCATATGATTAGCTGATATAGCTCAGAATAACGAGGCATGTGACTAAACTGTCCTCAATACACCACTAGACGATATACATTACATTATCAAATGGATCTTTTCAGTAGTAATCATAGATGACGTCATCATTTGGACTAAAGTGGCCTGTGAGGTGCACTGGTATTCTAACCACATTCTGACATCTTCTGTGATTTCTAAAGGCACAGGCCCATGGCAGAGTGGAATCAATTTGACTAATATGACAAATAAGCAAATACTGTGAACGGTGACGTCACCTTTACGTCTGTCCTCTAATAGATCATAAGAACCAATCAAAATGCGTGTATCATTCAATTTATGATGTAAAGAAAATGGAAAAATGTTGGACATTTCATCAGACCAACTCAAGAGAATTATGCCTTGACCAAGGTGTTCATTGACGTTTTCAGTGGGAGGGCAACTGATTTTTTCACAGGCGGGCAAAACTGTTTGAACTGAACTTCTTTGTAAGATAAACTTTTCTCCAGATGGTCAAACCAAGTGAGCAAAATCATCCTCACAAGCGATAAATTTACCCAGTACCTGGTCCTGCAGGACCATTTTCACTAAAACCATCTCATCAAATATTCCATGGCTTATCCAGGGGTTTCAGTAAGTTCTCCCATAATCAGCTGCTGATGTCTATTTTAGGAGTTTCATGGTTGATATCATATTTAACACGTGAGAAACATAAATGCTGTGTCGACTACAGTACCTTATATCTTTTAATACTCTAAGGTAGTAATGTCCCAAGTACAGAAATGAAGGAGAGTAATGGGGATCCAACTTGGCTGCCTAAACAAAATTATGTCAGAAATTTTCATGGTTTAACTTACACTACCAATCGAAGAAAGAAAGCTGTCATTTATGAAAGTAAGACAGACAAAAATGGCAATTTTAAGTTATAGGGAATTGGTTCATTGTTTAGCATACATGCACAAATTATGTATGCATGCAGAAAGTCTGGGAACATGAAAAAACCTAAGAGTTTCTAAGGTACAGCTGAGAGAAACTATAANCAAGTGCTCTCACTCTGCCTGCCTTATAGTTTGTGTCTATTGTCTGCGTCAGCGTTCTGGAGAAGGAAAATATTTTTCGTACGGACGAACGTAGTGAGGGAGTAGGAAAGAGGTCTTACAAGTGTGTAGTGCTGTTTGCATTTGCAACAGCCATTGCTTTGTCTCGCCCTCACGCTAGCCTCGCGATTGCCTCCGCTCAAAATTCTCAACGACCCTTTTCCTAACTTAAACTGAAGTTACCCTAAGTAAGCCTGTTAAATCCAGACAGGAAGTACTCGTTAACAGTGCATCTCCTTGACACTGTAGTCCTGTATATACCATCATATAATTCAATCAAGAGTCTCTTTACCTGCAACTCGTCGGGACAGGCCTGCAGTAGATAGGACGCCAACTGACTCCACAATAAGCTGCTTCTTGGATTACTGTAAAAAAGTCAACAGAAGTGATTCAGCCTGGGCTAAAAATCAACCCAGGCCCGAGTGAAAAAGCTCTTAGAGGACAAGAACAAAGGAAAGGAAAGAACCAGTGCATCTTACCGATGGATCTCTTTCATGATGTGACTCCGTCCAAGTTTTTGATTTCCCTGTAACGTGATAACAACAACAATTGCATTGTACTCGAAACACAAACAACGCACACGTAAAGAGAGAATTAAAGCATACCTGCATGGCGTAAAACCGTGAGTAAAGATAGCAAATATTGCCCGTTAAAACATCAGACCCTGACAGACAAGATATTAACATATAATAAGCTAAATGTCTGTGTTTAGATAATAAGCTGAATCATACACGGATTTTCACTGTTTCCTACTTGAGGTCTATTGGAGGACAGACGCACCTAGACGTCATGGCACCATCAACAACATCTTGCCTTTTTTCTTATATAAAAGTAATAGATTTGGAATGCATTTTTTCCAGAAAACCTCTTCGACATTGGACCTGGGCATAAGTAGGTTAGTGCTGTACTACTGCTGAGGTCTTTTTTTTTTAATTTTCTCCCCCTCCCTCCAGTAATTCTCTACATAACCTGCCTTACCGTTCTTTTTGTTCATAAGTTCACCTAGGGCTGCTCCAGCCAATGTAGCATCACCGCTCACCAAACCAAAGGCACACAGCGCCATGAGCCCGCGATCACAAGCGGGTTGCAATTGAGAACTGCAAGATAATAGGGTGTACATGAAATTTTTTTCCAAACATTTCGTTTACAATTAAAATTGGTAAATAAGTTATTGAATCCAATTATTCTTATTCACCTTTTAAA